TAACAAAAAAGGAATTATGATTGTTTATCCCTCTATGCAGCCCCATGTCGTAGACCTGAGATATTTTAAAATTTGAATAATGTAAAATTAAATAATTAAGGTTTGCCCGTTGAATTTTAAAAAAATCTATATTAAAAAAATACAAATTTTAGAATTTTTTTGCCTATGTTACCCCCAGGGTACCCATGGGTTCCCTCAAAAAATGTCTGCCCATTTGGTCCAGCCGTTTGGCCTACTATAGGGAACATATATACAAATGTCTTATATTATTATATAGATAGATATAAACGGTTTACACCATCAGGTTGCACCGATATAGGTATTATAAATTTTAATTTGTGGCAAAGACACAATTTCGGGCCGGGAAGTGGGTCAACAAATGGAATTTTTTAAATGGACGCTCTTAATATTTCTTTTAATTTCCTATTATTGGTTTTTATATAGATTAATTGATTTAACTAAATTTGTAAGTTTTAATAAATCANACAAAAACTTTAAGTTACGGGGTTGAGTATTAAAGACAATTTTACCAAGGGTGTTCACGGGTGTTTTTGAAGATTACCAAAGTTTAATTTCGAGTTTCCTATACCAAATGTTGAGTAAAAAGAGGAATTTATTTGAATTAAAAACATGAACAAACCCTATATCTGATAACTTTACGTTATTTGACAATTTTTAAGTATTTTTTTTGCTTTTTGGTGCGGCAAGATAAAATGCATAAACATACACTTTTAAACACACTTTTCTTTTTTGATCATTAAATTTCTCTGAATCTAAATCCTTTATCGAGAGTTCTAGGTATAGGAAATCTTCAATTATTGGCTTTTATATTGTCGGACTATTTACATTATTTTCTCTAGTTCTAGTTAGTAGAGTGCAATTTAGGTTTAGGTACAAGGGAACCACTAAAAATGATAATATATCTTTTTTCCAAAATGTGGTCTGCCTTTATTGTGTTTTTAAAATTATCTATAGATAAAGAAATTTTTTCTGATTCCAGGCTATTGAATATTAATCTTTACTAATCAAATTATGTACAGTATAAGCCCGAACTTTGGAGACATCGCAAGAATAAAAAATGTTGTTTTCTTAAACTGCTGATATTGGAATACTGCAGATATTTAAGTTCTTTAAAACCTGTTTCCGCATATTTCATAGCTGTTTCTTTAGTTTTACAATTACTGAGATTTAGGTATAGTAATATAAAACACATAGAAAATTGTCAAGACGACATTTTAAAAATGCCTTCAATGACTCCGAAGTTCTGGGTTAAAAGAAAAGAAAAACCATAGAGGTAGAGAGCAACCATGTATTGGTAGAGAGGAACCATATATAGGTAGAGAGGAACCATGTATAGGTTGAGAGGAACCATGTATAGGTAGAGAGGAACCATGTATAGGTTGAGAGGAACCATGTATAGGGACGGGCCTGGGATAAAATTACTGTCAGCTCTCTCTGAGAAATGATTATCCTGCAAAAACTCCGAAGTATCGTGCGCACTATTGCCGCCATATAAACTCATTATTTCACCATCAATTTCGTTCTTCAGTCTGCGTATCACAATGAAGTGACATTTTTAATCTTTTCATGTTCCTTTCTTCCTACTCTAGTTCCCGACGTTGAAGTTTCTTACGTGCTTGCGCGTAATTTGGTGTATTCGAGATAGTAAATTAATTAGAGCGCGCGTTTACGTGCGGAGAAGTCATGCTCACTTCAATCCTTTATTATTTCTCCGAACCTGAGTGTTTTATGCAAACCTGTTACAGGAATTAATAAAGAATCTTCTCTTTTTCTCCCCCCCCCAAGGCCCCCCCCCCTGTCTTCCGATTTTTGATTAAAAAAGAAGCTGGAATTGGAGATAAAACAAAATGCACGTCCCTTGAATTGTCAATACAATAACGATATAAAAATCGTTCACTTTTTGTCTCGCTTCGTAATAAACAATTTTGGATATTAGACGGTTTTTCTGGTTGTCATCAGGGATGAATATAGTCAAGAATCAGCCCTTGAAAATCTGATAAATCATTAAAAATGTGTAAATATCTTTTAAAAGGGGATTTTTACGTAATGTTTACTCTCTCCCTCAACCCGTTCTCCTGGGGTATCCCTGAATAGGGTTCCACAAAGGTGGGGTAAATGCCCGGTTACAATACATCAATCCATCAATCCATCCATCCTGTCCAATCTAGACACAAGACAGTAAAAAATCTGATTGACGCGCATGCGTACGATTGAGGCATTTTTCAGTTTACGTCTGGGATAAGTACGCATGGTCTGGGATCTCAAGCGTATATTTCAACACTTTTAATTTTAAGACACAAATATCTGTGAAATAAAGCTCTTATCTTTATATATATACATATTTGTATGTTAGCTATAGTGGCCAAACGGCTGGACAACATTGGCTGACATTTTTTAGGGAACCGGCCCATTGTTACCCCGGGGTCGAAATAGCCTTAAAAAATTGGAAATTTTTTGATTTCCACGGGCAACGCTGGGCACTTAAGCTAAAATCGTGAATAGATTCCAAGCGCGGGTAAACGGTGAAATAACTATGATTATATATGAATAATAATACATACATCGGCAACGCCGGGCACTCCAGCTAGTTAAACAACATTGCTAAACTTCAAACTTTTTTTCTAAAATTGTTTACTACAGACCAGATACCCCCTCTATTACTAATATCTAGATACTACAGACCAGATGCCCCCTCTATTACTAATATCTAGATGCTACAGACCAGATGCCCCCTCTATTACTAATATCTAATTAGAATCTGTCTAAGTATAACTCCAAGTGAAAATATGAAAAACGGAAGTAAATTTTTCGGGAGATTTTTAAAAACAAGAAAATATTTATTTTTGAAAACATTTCTTTGTACTTAATTATCTAAGAGAAAACAATAATGCCTAAATAGTGGAAAGAGCTATAGGTTACACCGATTAATTCGAACCATCCCGTCTTAATTATCTATCTCTTTATATAGTAGCTATGTTGGTTTGTCTGTTTATTTGTGGTCCGAATGTAACTCATGAACCCCTTGACCGATTTGTCTCAAATTTAGGTTTTCGGTAGACCTAAGGAAATGTTATGAGCAAGGTTTAGTAGGTTGACTTTAATATTGAAAACTTGGTTTCTAGGCAAAGAGCTGGAATCCAAAGCCAGTACTGTAATTATTCTTTGTTTCTCTCTGATTTGAATCCAACTTGTCAGAAAATTATTCAGCATGGCAAAGGAATTTTTTAATCATGATATCTTTGCAATCTGATGGTGTGAACCTTTGATAATTCAAACCAAGGGATGAGAAAATTAGAGTTTGTGACAAAGACTCAATTCCTTTGGCAATATCTTAAACAATAAGAAACTTTAGAAAGGAAACAATACGAAATTTCTCTAAATACCAGGTTTCCCAATAGCTTCGCTTGGTTTCGGCCTCAGATACATTAGAATAGATTGCTCATGCGAGCTGTATTTGGATAAATTGGTTTACCCTCTGTAATTGTACAACCAAAGAGAATAGAATATATATTAGAATTAGGTATTAGGTATGAATTTTGTCAGTCCCTTTCAACCTGAAAGGGAGTTTAAAGTGTACAAATCATGTAAATGTTCACAAATTATATGCAGTAGAGTACATTAATACAGTATGATCCCTAGACTAGCCATGAATTTTTTAAAGCTTTTAAATAAACTTTATGAAATGAATTAGGTGAATGAAAAACATCATTTGATTTAAAGTTATAACGGAAAATCATCGTTTGTAAAGGAAAAGGCATAGAATCTATGTGAAATGATCATTGGTTAGTTATAAAACCAGCTTATTTCATAATTTGGTTTTCTTTTAATATTAATTTTAGATTTTCTATAAAATGATGTTCCAGGGCCCAAAAGGTTATATAGCACAAATGTGTGAAGTACACCTGCAGTATGGAAACAGTACAACAAAATGACCGTTTTACACTTTTTTCTAGTAAATTTCACTCTAATATATATTCTATTCTCTTTGTTTAAATTGCATCATATATAAAATAAATAAAGAATATTATGATCTATCAACTATATACGAATGCGTCGAAAAAAATGAATGATTATAGGTTGCAATATCTGAATTTCTTTCAGTGCCTTTCAAAAATTTTATTTTTTATTTCTCTACAATATTTGCTCTGAACTAAACTATTTACGAATATTCTGGCACAAAAGTCTATCGGAATTTTGCCCATTACACCTGTAATACTAAAGCTATAGAAGCAAGCACTTGGCAGCTTGAACTTTTCCTATCCAGAGCTGCAATAAAATAAGTGGATAGGATTGGATCAAACCAAGAGCAAAGACCTGGCGAAACTTGGAAGATCGGTCTAGTCTCATTAGTTGATTCATAGTTTTCTTGATTGTGTGTGGATAGATGTGTGTACTGTATCTTGTATTTTATTAAAACACTTTAAATTTTTGATATTTACAAATCATGAGACACTGGTAAATTGATAAATGTGATTACAGATCTGGTGTTAATAGTTGTCGTGTTTCTAAAGAAATGTGTGTCCAAAAAGAACAAAAATGACGTTATAAAAAGCTGTAAATAATTTATTATATATACTTTGAGTCTGCCTCACACATTCCTCATATTTTGGGTTGCGGGACAAAAAGTGGAATGACAAGAAATGTTTTGAGAACAAGAAGTTGGAAAGGTTTCGTGACTATTCTTAAATCTTGATTTTGATCCGAAGAATGACAAAAATATTCAAAAATTAGGGTAACCGTTTATTCTCCACAGCTTTTAGACAATTTTCTGAGTGACTTAAAATAGCCCCTTGTCCTGTCTTGGGATCAACTTTTTTCGAAAATCTGACGTTTTTTGGGGCTGTAGGGGCCTGGGATGTCTCCGTCCTGTGAGGGATATCTGCGGCTGCTTCTGATTGGATCGGAGAGAAAAAAGCGTGGGCCGGACCGACCGAGCGACAGGGAGAGCGGGCTGGGGCGGCGCCAGCCACCGTCCCAAGTTTCTTGTTCCCGCATTTTCCGCAGTAGAGCTGAGAAAACCGCCAAAAACAGGCTGAAGTGCAAGGCAGAGTTTTTGGACCTCGAAACATCGTGTTTTCAGTCCTTCAGTGAGAGTGGAGAAAAACTTGAATGTCGGTTAATGTGTTTTGTAAACAAGAACTTAATGTACTGCAGAGTTGAAGCGTATTGCAGAATGCATCTAAGTTCAATTATGCTAGTTGTACAAGCCAAGAATAACACTGAACCTAATCCGAGCATTTGCTTACTCAGCCTGGACTACGAACCCTTGAACTAATGCAGAGGACGAATCTCATCTTAATCTCAGCTCTCTAAAAACGTTTAAGTCTATCCCATGACTCTAAACTGGGAATAATCCCACGTAAAAAAGCACCCAGTGCTGTAAATAAAAGAAAGAACCCCTGTGATTAACTACGACGGAATCAAATCCCTGAATTGTGAAGATATTTGATATCAAAAATAATCTGCTCTTCAACCCAACGGTTGAGATTTATTCCAACAAAAATTCGAACTTTTACAACCCGGTCCAACAAGGAAAAGTATTTATTAGTGAAAAAGTTTTACAACTTGTGCAAAGCACAAAAAATCGTAAATTTTTTAGAAAAATCTAATTTTTCTAAATACTCGTTTGTGTTTATCTGTTGAGATCTTCAAGATTAGTAGATAGAGATAACCCGGAGATAGTTTCTCCGTCCTGAACCCAGGATCTTGTGAATTATCCAGATCCTGAGAGAAGATTACAATTAACTCTGAACCCACACAGAGATACACAAAATGGCGATGGGCATAGACTACTATTCTTATCCACCTCATGTAGGTTTTAAAATTAATTCAATTTAAGAAAATTCAGAGCATTATTTTTTATAAGTTTAAAGCTTTCAAACCAAAAACCCGCTTTAACCCTTATCAGTTGTTTATCTACCAGATGTGAGCCGGGTAAACTCGTTTAAAAATCAAAAATTTCAAGAATTGTTTGAGAGTTTAAAATTCATAGATAAAATTTAACTGAAGAGAAGGGGCATCTGGACTGAAAGAAACGGTCTCAGAGTAAATGGAAAATTATAAAAGTTTTTAAGGGTAAAGAAATAATGAGAAAGAGGTAAATTTGAAAATATATCAAAATGAAGACAACAGTTAGGTTAAAAAACCCAAAGAGTTTTTAGTTCCACAAAAATGGAAAAACGAGGTAGAGATTTAAAGAGGTTGAGGAGAGGCCATAAGCTCACTAAGAAAAGAGAAAAAGAGGTAAAGATGTAAATGTTTTGAGAGGGTTTAACCCGTGCTATAGGAGAGGAGAAAAAGGTAGAATTTTAAGATTTGGAGAGGTTTTTAACCTTGCAATGGAGAGGCAAGAGGCGAATAATTTAAAGGTTTTGCTAAAATAAGGAGAAAGAGGTGACGATTTGTAGGTTTGAAAGAGTTGGTAGGAGTAGTTAAGTTATGTTCAAAATATAAAGCAGGATGGAAACCTATAGCGAATGTTGATCAGGAAAGAATTGTGTTTTTGCCACAAACCCTTTTTATTCTAATCCCCAAGTCCTTGCAACCCCATGTCGTAGACCAAGTGGATATTTAAAAATATAAGTTCTGTTGGATAAACCAGTTTTTAATATCAGCAGGTTGCAACGATATTGGGATTAGAAAATTTGAGTTTTTGGCAAAAACTTAATTCTTTCGTGATCAAGATTTAGAATATGAACTAGAAACCAAAAGGTTTATATGCTTGCGACCGTAGATTTTTATAACACTCTTCGTTTTCGTAAATTATCATTGGAATTCCTTCTTCTTTTACTCTTACAAATCTATTTAAGAAGAAAGCTATTGTTTTTGAATTGTCAGCAGTTTTGAAGGATATTTTTAACAGAAAAGGAAGACGAAATCATAATTTCAAGTTTATTTTTCCAATTTAAATGTTAACAGAGAAAATAAACAAAACTTGAGGCAGGAAATTTGATAAAAAAGATTAATGTAGAAAACCAAACTATGTAAAATTTTAAATGTAAAAAATCATAAAAATTATATAAGTAAACTTAGAGTAAGACTTTGGAACCAACCATTCACTTTGTAATAACTTAAGTTATTGAAAAAAGCCGAAAAATTTATAATTCAGGGTAGGGGAAGAACTGAAAGGAGAAACATGAACTAGTAAACTCAGGGTAGGGATAGGATCTAGGAGAAACATGCACTAGGGAACTCAGGGTAGGGATAGGATCTAGGAGAAACATGAACTAGGGAACTCAGGGTAGGGATAGGATCTAGGAGAAACACGAACTAGGGAACTCGGGGTAGAGATAGGATCTAGGAAAAATACGAACTAGGGAACGTAGGGTAGGGATAGGATCTAGGAGAAACATGAACTAGGGAACTCAGGGTAGGGATAGGATCTAGGAGAAACACGAACTCAGGGTAGGGATAGGATCTAGGAGAAACACGAACTCAGGGTAGGGATAGGATCTAGGAGAAACACGAACTAAGGAACTCAGGGTAGGGATAGGATCTAGGAGAAACATGAACTAGTTAACTCAGGGTAGAAATAGGATTTAGGAGAAACATGAACTAGGGAACGTAGGGTAGGGATAGGATCTAGGAGAAACATGAACTAGGGAACTCAGGGTAGGGATAGGATCTAGGAGAAACATGAACTAGGGAACTCAGGGTAGGGATAGGATCTAGGAGATGAACTATTTCTGGAACACAAGGAACACATATTGAAAGAGGATAGGAACAAGGAACACAAAGAGTAGAACTATTTCTGGAACACAAGGAACACATATTGAAAGAGGATAGGAACAAGGAACACTAAGAGTTGAACTATTTCTGGAACACAAAAAGGTTCACATATTGAAGGAGGTTAGGAACAAGGAACCATGAGAGTTTAAATGGATAGGAATAAATGCAAGATTTACTCAGAATTACGGATAATCTTAAATATATTTAAAATAATAAACAATTGAACTTTGGGTATAAAATATGTAGATAAACTATCCTACTCAGGATAGATGGATTTAGAAGAAATGTTTATAAATGAAAACATAATCTAAGAATTAAAGATGAAAAATCTTCGTTTTGATTTTTAATGTATATAGACGAACGAAGTATAATATTTTCTAGGATGTTTATATTATATTTTTATATTTATATTATCGCTGTTTTTGTGATGATGACTAATATCCTAACGACATTTTTATTTAACTTTTTACACCGGTTGGACTTTTCAAACAAAAACCGGTTAAAACAAATTATGAAAATATATTTTCAAATATTTTGCAAATTTATTCTAAAAACCAAAATCAATGCTTGTAAAACAAATAATGTAATTTATTGATTATTTTTAGAAGTGCATCCATCGTAAATCAAATTATGGGAAATTAAATTTCTTGATGATTTATTCAAGTACTAGTCTGGGCTTGAACTTGAAAAAGAGCATTACCAAAACCAATGATATAAATGTAAACCGGTTCAAAATAAAATCTTGTTCCCAGGCTTGGATAAATGTTTAAATATTTGATAAAATTAAAGTAATCGAATTAATTTTTATTCAAACTTGCTGAGTCTCTTTTTGACATTTGAAAATGCTCATTAAAATGCACATGTGATTAAATTATACATATTAAAAAAAGGGTTTGAAAGAGGGGAAAGAGGGGGGAGGGGGGCTTTCCCTAATTCCCTGACATGAGACTAATATTAATTAAAACTGCTTTCTCGCTGGGTTAAGGGGAGAAAAAGTGTCCAAAGAACTCGGAATGTCAAACTTTTCTTCAAAATTAAACTCACAGGCCAGAAAGGGGGAAATGTGAGTGGGGGGAGGGGGCCAGCAAGGGGAAATGTNAGGGTTTACAAATATTCTCCTTTAGTTCAGCGTGAACTAGACAGGGTTTACAAATATTCTCCTTTAGTTCAGCGTGAACTAGACAGGGTTTACAAATATTCTCCTTTAGTTCAGCGTGTACTAGACAGGGTTTACAAACTAGACGGACTTATCTTAAAAAGTATCTTGACAAAACAAATCTCTTTACTCAGATTTATCTTTAGCTTTTTCCTCCGGGCTTTATTATTAAAGGGTCAGTTAGCGATACTAGGTTTAGGGGAGTTTAAAGGGAAACTTTTCAATTTTTAGATTTTACATCTATTTGACTGCTTTGTTTTTGAAGAAAGAATGGAACAAAGGAACTGAGTTTTTGTCACAAACTCAAAATGTCTAATCCATATATCTTTACAATCTGATGACATAAACCTTTGATATTTCAAACTTAGATTGTTAGGTCTAACAGAATTCATAGTTTGAAATATCAAAGGTCTACGACATTGGGTAGCAAAGATATAGAGATTAGAAAAGTAGAGTTTGTGACAAAAACTCAGTTCCTTTGAAGAAATATATTCCTACCTTTTTTCTACCTTAACCAGTTACAAAATACATTATTCTTGGTACGTTTGTAATTCAAAGATTTAACAAAGAGAGGACTTTCATTCTGCACGCACCTCTGATCCTTTAGTAAAAGTAAATTCAACCTAAAGTCTGACCGTGTCAACCTTGTTGCACCGGCTAGTCCTATTCAGTGTCTGCTTTGTTTACCTAATGTCCGGGCGATACAGTACAAACTGGGACCGGAAAGGTTGACCCGGCTCGGAAATTCAAATGTACTACGGCTGCCCGTGTCTGCTTCAATTAATGTCAAAATGGCTAAATCAATTGGTACAAACAAATGAGTTTATGTACATAATCTGTACAGTGTTCTTATACCATGTAAACATAAAAATTGTATTTCAAGTTCTTGTATCATCATTATACATGAACTAGAGTTCTTGTATCAATATGATACATGAACTAGAGTTCTTGTATCAACATGATACATGAACTAGAGTTCTTGTATCAACATGATACATGAACTAGATTTCTTATATCAACATGATGCATGAACTAGAGTTCTTGTATCAACATGATACATGAACTAGAGTTCTTGTATCAACCTGATACATGAACTAGAGTTCTTGTATCAACCTGATACATGAACTAGAGTTCTTGTATCAACCTGATACATGAACTAGAGTTCTTGTATCAACCTGATACATGAACTAGAGTTCTTGTATCAACCTGATACATGAACTAGAGTTCTTGTATCAACCTGATACATGAACTAGAGTTCTTGTATCAACCTGATACATGAACTAGAGTTCTTGTATCAACCTGATACATGAACTAGAGTTCTTGTATCAACCTGATACATGAACTAGAGTTCTTGTATCAACCTGATACATGAACTAGAGTTCTTGTATCAACCTGATACATGAACTAGAGTTCTTGTATCAACCTGATACATGAACTAGAGTTCTTGTATCAAACTGATACATGAACTAGAGTTCTTGTATCAACCTGATACATGAACTAGAGTTCTTGTGTCAACCTGATACATGAACTAGAGTTCTTGTGTCAACCTGATACATGAACTAGAGTTCTTGTGTCAACCTGATACATGAACTAGAGTGTGGGAAACTGCATCAGATCTTTAATGTATTTAATCCGAAGAATTTAAATTTCTTTAGTTTTGTTTTGAAAGAACAAACAAACTTGTTATTTTGCAACAAATAAACCTAGATCTAAGGATGATATTACAAAGCCATTTAAAAGATATTAACAGAAGAATGCGCATAAAATTCACAAATGATTTGATCTTGGAATAATTTATTTATAAGCTTCTAGCTCTCAGGTTTCATGGCTTTATGTTTTTATCTGCTCCTTGATGTTTTTATTATCTGAATAATCACTATTCTGATAATAACAATAATAATAATAATAATAATAATAGGATTTTTAAATAACAATGAAATGGCACTATGCGAGTAAACAGAAGATAAAAAACACTTGTAGAAAACTACATTTTTTGGCAAATATATACTAGGAAATAATTTGTGTAAAAACTTTAATTCAATAAATAACATTTGTTTATTTTTTTTAGAAAACCGGTTTACCCTGGGGAAGTGAGGCGAAGCCTGGAAGTGGGGGAGGCGGAGGGGTTGGCGGAGGCGGAGCTGGGGGCGGAACCCAGGGTTTAGCTCACTGGATGTCTGTTATGGCGGAGCATATGAATCATGAAACTTCATCCTTACATCCGGCGTATATGTGGCATAATGGAATTGACCAGAAGATGTCGCTGTCAGAACAACATCAGCTGTTACAGAAAGGTATTGATTGATTGATCGATTAATTGGTTGTTTAATTAATTGATTCTTTTCTATAATTTTTCTAACTAAAACATGTATCTATCTATATATAAATTTAGCTTGTCTGGGTGTCTGTTTGTTCGTTTGTATCCAATAAACGTCAAAACAGCTGAACCGATCGGGGCCACATTTTTTGTGGGACCTCGCGTGACCCCAGGGAAGGTTTATGAATGATCAAAGTTTTTTAATTTTTGTAAAATTTTGAAAATGCGCGAAAAAATATTATGAAATCAGCAAACCTTTTTTGTTTTTGCTTTTTATTGTACAAAGAAAAGATGCTCATAGATGAAGCCACAATTAAAAGTTGAAATAGAAGATGGGCGCGAAGCATCCTAAAAGCCTAGTTATATATATGTTTTTATATATCTGTCTGACTGTCTGTCTATCTATCTATCTATCTATCTATCTATATATATATATCTATATATATATCAGTCTATCTATCTATCTCTATATCTATCCATCTATTTATTTATGTAAATATATATATATATATGTCTATCTATCTAAATATCTATTTATTTATCTATCTACCGATCTATTATATATCTACCTAACCTAATTACCTACCCACCTCCTTGTTAAGTCTCCATGTTTAAAAGAATTAATTCCTAATTTGTGTAATCCCAATAGTAGCGTCTACGCAAATAAGTCATGTATCCAGCTGGGTGGGAAGGACGGTAAATCTGCATGGATTTCTCAACTCATCCTGGCACAAGAAAGGTTTTGCAATAAAGGGGACGGGGTGAAAAAAACGTCAGGGAAAGATGAAAAAAAAGTGAAAAGAAAGAACAAAACGTACGTCAGGGAAAGAAAGAAAAAATGGCAATATTTTAGCGAGTTATTTTGTATTTTAAGATTAAGTAGGGGATAATTAACATTTTTTAAAGATGAAAGATTTGTTTGGAGATTTTTAAATATTTTAAAAGATTTAGGACGGAAGAACATAAATAAATAAATTGTACAATGATTCATTATTAAAGGGACAGTAAAGGAAAAATGAAAGGGGGTATAGACTGAAAGCTAATCACTTTAGCTCTTGATCGCGACCCATGAAAGTTTTATTATATGATCTGTTTAAACCTACTACTTTTATACAAAATTGTATATATATTAATTTTCGTATATATTTGACACATTTTTATATCAATTTCTCGAGACAGGAACATCAGATATAACTTTCATGGGTCGCGATCGAGAGCTAAAGTGAAATTAGCTTTCAGCCTATACCCCCATTCAGTTTTCCTTTACAGTCCCTTTAAAAGATAATCTTGACACAGAAAAGTTTAAAAACAAGTTTTTATTTTTATTAAAAAGAGGAATAATTATCCCTGTTTATTTTGTAAATTTAATCCCAAATAATTGTTTGTTTTCTCAATAAAACTCTAAAAACGAGTAATTACAGATTCTCTCACTCCAGGCATTTTTATGCTAAAACAAAATTCAATCCTTGTCAATCCTCTGTCAGCCTGAGATACTTGAACACTCAACTCTTCTCCTGTTTTCTTGAATTCCAGGCTAGTGACGTCAGTTCTCTGTTTATTTATTCCCCCTCGGAGTTAGACAGAAACTTGCTGTTCAAGGATTGATCTTTTACCTATCAGAGGGTTCACTACTCCAGGATAATTATTCTCCGTCTAGGAATTTTAACAGGGAAAACTTTAACTTTATGATAATCTGTCTCATATGTTATTGTTAGTTTAATTGAATGCCCGTCTTAAAACCTGATTTCTTTATCCCTAGTCTCATAATCAGGGTTACTTTTTTCCGTCCTGTATCGTTGATTTTTTTAGCTCCGTCCTGTATCATGTGTATCACATTCCTTCCTGTATCAAGGTTTAACATATTTCATCTTGTAATTTAGGTTTAACATATTCCGTCCTGTATCAATGTGTATCATATTCCTTCCTGTATCAAGGTTTAACATATTCCGTCCTGCACCAAGGTTTAACATATTCCTTCCTGTATCAAGGTTATTCCGTCTTGTAATTTAGGTTTAACATATTCCGTCCTGTATCAAGGTTTAACATATTCCGTCCTGTATCAAGGTTTAACATATTCCGTCTTGTAATTTAGGTTTAAAATATTCCGTCCTGTATCAAGGTTTAAGATATTCCGTCTAGTATCAAGGTTCAACATATTCCTTCCTGTATCAAGGTTTAACATATTCCGTCCTGTACCAAGGTTTAACAAATTCCGTCCTGTATCAAGGTTTAACATATTCCGTCCTGTATCAAGGTTTAACATATTCCGTCCTTGTATCAAGGTTTAACAAATTCCGTCCTAAAATTTCTAAGAATGGTTTCTTTGCTAGGTCTATACTCTGTTTGTTGTATGACCATGAGACGGTTTAAAATGGATTATACCTTCTTTTCTCGGCAGTTATCACATTTCTATGTTTTCTTTCATACACATACACATTACACATAAACTTACTTACAAGAATAATATAAATAAAACCTTGGTAAACATATCAAGTTGGTATCCACCTGTTCTACCTGCTAACTAGAGTAATCTAATTGTTCTTGATTTTACCCATAGTAATTTCCCTGCTATATGTACTATCTAGATCTAAATCCAACTATTCTAACTACTACCTAGAGTAATTTACCTGTTCTATCTACTACCTAGAGTAATCTACCTGTTCTAACTACTACCTAGAGTAATTTACCTGTTCTATCTACTACCTAAAGTAATTTACCTGTTCTATCTTCTACCTAGAGTAATTTACCTGTTCTATCTACTACCTAGAATAATTTACTTGTTCTATCTACTACCTAGAGTAATTTACCTGTTCTGTCTACTACCTAGAGTAATCTACCTGTGCTATCTACTAACTAGAGTAATCTAATTGTTTTTTTTTCTACTACATAAAGTAGTCAACCTGTTCTATATACTACCCTGAGTAGTTAGTAATATATATGTTCTTTCTACTAACTAGAGTAATCTACCTGTTCTATCTACTACCTAGAGTAATCTTCCAGCCCTATCTACTACTCTGATTAATCTACTTGTTCTATCTACTACCTAAAGTGATCAACCTGTTCTATATACTACATTGAGTAGTGAGTAATCTATCTGTTCTATATACTACCTAGAGTAATCTTCCAGCCGTATCTACTACTCCGATTAATATACTTGTTCTATCTACTACCTATAGTGATCAACCTGTTAAATCTACTACCTAAAGTGATCAACCTGTTCTATATACTACATTGAGTAGTGAGTAATCTATCTGTTCTATCTACTAACTAGATTATCTGCTTCGCTCAATATTTAGTCCTAGATTTTCTAGGTGACCCTGGCGGATATTATTCCCCTGGTGCTCGGCCTGAATCCGCCGCATCATCCTCTCCGCCCAGCTCCGCCCCCCTAGTGGTCCCCCAGCCAATAAATGTTGCCAAGATGTCAGGTGGTGGGGGGCTCCACCCCCACCAGCACCCTCATCAAGCAATTAGAAAATATCAATGCAAAATGTGCCCGCAGGTAATATATCTATATATGTATAAAGTTGTAAACTCGGTTTGTCTGTCTGTTTGTATGTCCGATCATAACTCCGGAACTACTTGACCAATTTGCCGCAACTTTTGATTGGGAAACTCGAAAGAAATACGGGAATTTTTTAGCTTGGTTTTGAGATTCTATGTTGAGTGGGTCGATTTTTATCGGGAAAAAATAGCTAAAATCGTAATTTATGACTAAGTGCGGGTAAACGGCGGGAATATTTGCCTATCCTAGGCAATGCTGGGTCCCCAGGCTAATATTATATATGTATTCACTGATCAATAGTAATCCTTTTCACATTTCCATTTCATGAATATTTAGATTAAAATTCATTTTTAGTACCAGTGCAATCACATTTTTTGTTGTAAAAAGTCAGCACATTTTTTAATTTGCTATGCATAACACTATTTTTTGGTAACATTGAGACAAAATAAAATCAAAAGTGTGAATATAATTGCATAGTTTGAAACACACATTTTTTCCAACATTTTTGCAAAAGCTTTAATTGCCATTTTTAAAAATAAACTATGTTATTAATAATAAATCTTCAGACCATCAATCAAGGATTCCTTTGTCCAACCCAGTTATTTTTTATACAATGTTGTCTCTACACTTAGCAACAGAAAATTTTAAGATTTGTTAAAAATTGATTCTTAGGGACTGGAAGTGTTTATAATAAGGGGGGAATCTGACAAAATTCTTTATTTAGCCAAGTTTTGAATCCTTATCCTCCTCCTACCAAACCCTGTACGGATACAGTCCTCATCAGGTCTGTACGTAGGGCTAGGGAGTTTAGGGATACCACAGATTATACAGATTTTCATAGTTTTAATATAGTTTGACAACCATGGTATATTTTAACCTGAAACTATTATCCTTCGTAACCATACTTATTGCACAGCGAAGTATGTACAGTGTTTTACAGTTTGTACATCCAACATACTGTACATGTATGTGTTGAGTTGATGAGGGAGTTTAGAAGGTTATTTTGTACAACAGGTATATAGCTAGAACAACTATGTATTCTCTTCTATATCTGTGAGGGATCTCATTAACTTGTTTCAAAACAATTTTTAAGAGAATTACCTGGATTAATTTCCCCCTGGTTTATCTTGGACAGAATTTTTTTTTGATATGTTTTTTTAAGTTAATTAATTTTTTTTTTAGATTTTTGCCAGCAAAGCTGACCTTCAGCTCCACACCCAGATACACATGCGGGAACCTAAACCTTATAAATGCGCCAGTTGTAACAAAGCGTTCGCAAACAGCTCTTACCTGTCCCAACATACTAGAATACATCTTGGTATTAAACCCTACAGATGTGAGATCTGCCAGAGAAAGTTTACCCAGCTCTCTCATCTTCAACAGCACATCAGAACACATACCGGAGACAAACCATACAAGTGCAGAATTCCAGGTAAAAAACATTTACATTATCAATCAATTTTTTTTTAAATGTGGTTAGAATCTGTTGATCTGAAGTCAGAACTTTTGGATTGATTTGATTCCTATTTGATGTCCCATAGTTGTCATACCCTTCAGGGATAACTTTAATTGAGGGATCAAGTACAGATCCTCACATTGGATATCGAGATTAAGCGTTCTAGATTTAACAATATCAAAAGTTCCGACCTCAGGTTTATAAAACATAAAATACGATGCAGGCAATAACATCAAGATTTTGTATCCTGAGCTGGGAACTCTTGTATTTCCAGATCAATGCTTCATTTTGATTTTTTGTTAATCTGCGGATTAATTTAATCTTTAATCAATATCCCGCATTGGTAATCCTACCCTGCAGGAATAACGAAAATGAGCAGATTAAGCATTGATCCTCAAATTAAAAGTGCACACAGTGGTTATCGAGATCAAGCTATTGGGATCATGAGTATCCAATGCAAAAGTTCCCAACTCGGGATATGTTTAGAAACCAATATTAAAAGGTTTACTATTTGGATCAGTTTTGCTGAAAGTGCAGGCGCATTAATGAATACTTGATAAGAAAACTTTTCCAAGTTATTATTTAAAATATTTTCCAGCTTTTAGACAAAAAATTGAAAGGATTTGTGAAAAGTGTGACCATGATGTTTTTCATCCAGTTTAAATAGTTTAAGACCTGTTTCATGATTTGTGTTTTAAAATTCAAATATTCAATGTTTTTAAACTTGGACAAGAAAACCAAGTTTCAAGACAACAATAGTTTCAGATATAAACCTTATTGTTCCATTTTCTAAAATAGTTTAGTTTGAAACCTCGACAAGGTTTGTTTTAGGCGTCTGGAGAAATGCCATTGGCTGTCATTGTTCTCAACTGCTGTAACCCAATTCTGCCAATTCTGGGGGGAAATCTTTTTATTTAAAAGGACTGTTCTCAAGTTTGAACCTATAGTTCAACACTAACAAAATAAACTATTAGCCCTTTTTTTCGTTTGGTTTTCTAGTCATTTTTCAAATTATTGCCCTCCTTAAACTTAAAATCCTGGAAAGTATTGGTTAATTTTTGGAATTCTGAAAGTTATTGAAATTAGGTTGGGTTTGCATATCCGAATCTTATTGTTATCTGAATGCAAGATTTACTTAAAATATCCATATCCCCATCTCCCCCTCCCCCTTTATACAGCCCGACTCTAAGGTTTTGAACCCCAGTCAGAGTTCCCGTCCCCTGCTCCTGCAACCCTTGATATTGTTTTGAAGGAAACCCGATGAAAACTGTGTTGAACGGTTGGGAAATTATCGGACACAATAAAATGATATTTTAACCAATTGAGTTTATTGGCTGGCAAAAACTGTGGTGGTTTCAACTATTCTCTATTGGAGACACTTTTTATCACTTTTGCAGGTTGCACGAAAGCGTTCTCTCAGCTGTCCAACCTGCAGTCCCACTCCAGGTGCCACCAGACAGATAAACCATACAAGTGCAACTCCTGCTACAAATGTTTTGCTGATGAGCAGGCCCTGTTCGAGCATATTCCTAAACATAAGGAATCTAAACATATAAAAACCCACATCTGTTCCTACTGTGGGAAGAGTTACACACAGGTTAAACATTTTCTTTATTAAAGATACAAACTATTATTTATTAACTCAATGTTTAATTAAAAATGTAACAAATACATTAATTTCTTTTTGTTTTAGGAAACATACCTTGCCAAGCATATGCAGAAGCATGCTGATAGAACAGATAAAAGGCCTCCGATCATCGCAGGGCCGGTCAGCGGGCTCCAGCAAGATTTATACTGGCCTAAGATGGATCCAGGTCTATATCAGAGCCATGATAGACTAGACCCTTATGGACAGGGGCTCATGGATCCTTCCAGGTTCCATCCACAGTTTGCAGAGGATCTCCGACAGCAAGGATATGGTATGGGAGGAGGAGGATGGGGAGATCCATCCAAAGCATCGTCGGCATTTTCTCCGATCAATGGTGGAGTTCTGCCCAGTTCTACAGGGTTCAATATGGCGGGAGGAGCACGAGGATATCCTTTCTACGATCCTATCTCATTCCAAAGACAAAGCCAGGTACTAAGATCTAAGTTTTTTTGGAAGAAATATTCTTAAATTAGTCTGGAAGTTTGACTTATTTCTTATTTTCAGGTTGGGTTTGAATCTAAAACTGCCGGCTCTAATTTGATCTCCCTCTCACAAATCAAGAACTACGCTCATGATCGAGGTGGACCAACATCATCTTGATGCTGCCTCTCCGGAGAATAAGGTTTATAATCAACCCGGTCTGATGTAGGAGTAGCTCACCCTGCACAGTAAGACCCCTCGAACACCCAACCTTGCTCCAGGTTGATCCTTTAGCTGCAAGGTTCGGGAGATGCAGAGATTAGAAGAATCCTGGTTGTGTGAGGGCGGAGCAAGCTTTGCAGAAATCCCTGCAAACCAATAAAGAGACAGAGGTGTGCAAAATTTTTGCAGAAAGAGGAAATTTGCAAAGTTTACTGGCGGCAAAGTTTCTCACGCGGCGGCAACAGTTTCCAAACATTCAGGTTCTTTATTCTCCGGGTCCTGATTGATCTCAACTTCTCAACCTACAACTTATCCGTTCACAGGAGACAAAAACCCTCTGATTTAACATTCTCCAATGTCTTGAATATCCGAGCTGAGGTGTTTAGAGAATCTAAAAACATTCAGTTTCTGTTAGGTTTGTTCAATCTACAGCTAGGACAGTTTAGGATGAAGAAGATACATAGTGATAATAAACCGTTCAATCGGTTTCCATTCTCTTCTCCTTGTCCTTANAATCCTTGATCTCCGGGTCCTCCGTAAATCCTTGATCTCCGGGTCCTCCGTAAATCCTTGATCTCCGGGTCCTCCGTTAATCCTTGATCTCCGGTCCTCCGTAAATCCTTGATCTCCGGGTCCTCCGTAAATCCTTGATCTCCGGGTCCTCCGTTAATCCTTGATCTCCGGTCCTCCGTAAATCCTTGATCGCCGGTCCTCCGTAAATCCTTGATCTCCGGGTCCTCCGTAAATCCTTGATCTCCGGGTCCTCTGTAAATCCTTGATCTCCGGAGCTTCCCTGAATCTTTGATCTCCAGGGCCTCATTAAATAATATAATTCTAGTTCTATCCTAATGGCGGGAAAATCTAGTATTGAGCGTGTTGGAATAATAAAATTAAAATTAAGTAAAAAATTGATAAGGAACAGACAATGTCTGTTTTACACAGCTAAAAAGTTATAAAAGCTTGTGTTTATAAATCAAAAATTTTCCGAGTTCAATTCTATGAAAAGAAACAATAAAAATGTATGAACTATATATAGTGAGAACTGTTTTTTTCTATTCACAAAATTAACCTTTGCCTAAAAGTTCTTGGAAACCCTAAATTCCTTTGAGAGTCCATAGAAACCCTAGAACCCAAAGAAAGTTCCTAGAAACCCTGAGTTCCTAGAAACCCTAGATTCCTTTGAGAGTCCATAGAAACCCTAAAATCCAAAGAGAGTTCCTGGAAACCCTAGATTCCTAAGAAAGTTCCTGGAAACCATAGATTCCTAAGAGAGTTCCTAGAAACCCTAGATTCCTAAGAGAGTTCCTAGAAACCCTAGAATCCTAAGAAAGTTCCTAGAAACCCTAGAATCCTAAGAAAGTTCCTAGAAACCCTAGAATCCTAAGAGAGTNTCCTGCATTCTTGAACCTGTGTAACCCTGAATATCTGTATTTTTTTTCTTGCTGTATTTCTGTATCTCTACTTCTATGTATCTCTGTATCTAAGTATATTATATATATATATAGATTATTTGAAAAAACAGAATTCAAAGTTTGGAAAATGAAAGGTTTACGACATTGGGTTGCAAAGATATAGAGATTGTGTTAGTCTCAATTTTTTTTTTTTTTTCTATTGCCTTACAATGATCATTTTTACTAGAATTTGAAACTACTATTTTACTAAATAACTAGTTGGCGAGCTTTGAAGTAGAGATGTTGAAGGGAAGGGATTTCTAGAGACAATAAGCATAAGATTTTATATAAATAAAATATTGTATGCTTAAAAGTTGTTGAAGACATAATTACATTTTATCAAAAAAAGAAAAAATTTAAGAAGAAAACAAACAATTTTTTTAAATAGAAACTTTAATAAACAGTTTTCATATAAAATATCTGTCGAATGGAAAACTAGATTTATTATTTTTGTAAAGTACAGATTGTTCTTCAGTTTTCTTTCATGAATGGTTTCAGAATTTTCAAAAACATTTTCCAATTTACAGTGTCATAAACCAATGTCATGAATAGTAAATTTTTCCTGTTTTTTATTCTGCATCCCTCGTAGCCGTAGTGCAACTGTCAGTGTAAACCTGAACCTAAATTACCCCTTTAGATATACTGCTGAGGACTGATTGGTCCAAGTGCCCCAAAATCTACGAAAATCTGTGAGTACTTGCAAAAATGCATTTTATTCTCTTGGTCCCTGCAATAGCTGAGTTCTCCTGTAGCTTGGTTCCTTGTATAGTGATCTTATCCAACCCTACACTCTCAGTTCTTTATGCTTGACATGGTGTCCAGCTAAACCAAACCAAATAAATCCCTTGCTAAACAGAGGGGTCATCATTTTTACAATTAGGGTAATTTTTGTTTCTCTCTTTTCAGAGCTATTTAAAAGTTTAGCTTTTCGTACATTCTTACTTGGAACCTTTCATATCCTATACGTTGTTTCTACTCAGCTACCCAGCTAAGATAAAAGTGTATTATTCAGTAAGGATACAAAGGGAAACATATGAAGGATACAAGTATATTATTCAGTAAAAACACAAAGGGAAAGATATGAAGGATACAAGAGTATTATTTAGTAAGGACACAGGGGGAAGACAAGAAAGATACAAGGGATAGTTATAAAGGATACAAGGGAAAAACAGGAAGGATACAAGGAAAAGACGTGAAGGATACAAGGGAAAGACATGCATGATACAAGAGAAAAACAGGAAGGACACAAGGGAAAAAGGAAGGATACAATGGAAAAACAGGAAGAATACAAGGGAGAGACATGAAGGATACAAGGGAAAAACAGGAAGGACACCTGGGAAAAAAGGAAGGATACAAGGGAATAACAGGAAGGATACAAGGGAAAGACAAGAAATTTACAAGGGAAAGACAAGAAAGATACAAGGGAAAGACATGAAAGATGCAAGGAAAAAACAGGAAGGATACAAGAGAAAGACATGAAGGATACAAGGGAAACACAGGAAGGATACAAGGAAAAAACAGAAAGGATACAAGGGATAAAACAGGAAGGATACAAGGGAAAGACATAAAGGATACAAAGGAAAGACAGGAAGGATACAAGGGAAAAACGGTAAGGATACAAGGTGAAGACAAGAAGGATACACGGGGAGGAGAGGAAGGATACAAGGGGAAAACAGAAAGGATACAAGGGGAAGACATAAAGGATACAAGGAAAGGATAGGAAGGATACAAGTGAAAAACAGGAAGGATACAATGGAAAGACATCAAGGATACAAGGGAAGGACATCAAGGATACAAGGGAAGGACATCAAGGATACAAGGGAAAAACAGGAAGGATAAAAGGAAAAGACAAGAAGGGTACAAGGGGAGGACAGGAAGGATACAAGGGGGAGACAGGAAGGATGCAAGGGGCGGACAGGAAGGAAACAAGGGGAAGACAGGATGGATGCAAGGGGAAGACAGGAAGAATATTTATTATTCTGTTTATTGCTAGAATTGAGATGAAAATAACTAATTTAGAAGACGACATATAAATGGTCTCTGATTTCCCCTACAATCTCCAATCTGGATCTGGAAAACAAATATGAAGATTTAGATATAGATGACATTTTTATAAATAAATAGGACAAGCTAAAAATTTTATTAACTACTTTTACTTCTTTGTTTCCAATTTGTCCTTTTATTTTGTGACACCCTCCACCGTAAACCAGAAAACTAAAGGTACAGAGACAAATCTTCATGTTTATTGTCCAAACCAATAAAATTTTATTACACGACTAAATGTCGAGTCATTAAAGCAAGCGTTAACTTAAACCTGAGACTCAAAATTAAACAGTTTAACTTAAAATTATCGGAAACTTCTTTAAGACAAGAAGGAGTTAATCTCATTCCTACGAAGTTTTGTGAGTTAAGTATAGTTTCTCGTCTCTCCACGGACTTTTTTTTTAATTCGTCTATTAAATCCGTCTCTCGTTAATCCACGTACGTTCGTAGATTCGACCAATGAGAGGTCCCGATCACCCTGAACATAACCGGAGGTAGAGTCGTTCGTTTATTCAAATTAATCAAGTTTTGTTCTTGGACTGAACTGTTAAATCAGCGCCTGATATTTCCAGCATGGACCAGTCAGAAATCAGAATTCCAACGGATTGAAACGAATTTGATTTGTTGTGTGTAAAAATCATGCAAACATAATAACTTAAAGTTCATTTCAAGGAAGGTCAAATCAAAAGATGATTTTTGACCAATTCAAAAAATCTGAATGAATCATATTAATGTGCCGCCAATAGGAGGGGGAGGGGGAGGTGGGGTTCTATTGAAAGTTTTGCAAGTAGAATTGTTGCAAAATACCTCCTCGGGAATATGGGAAGAAGATAGTTAGATAGATAGAGAACTAATGAAGGCTTGTCACGCAAAAGAATAATAATACAAACAGAGCGCGGATACAGGATACAGGATACAGGATATAGAATATAGGATATAGGATATAGGATATAGGATATGGGATATAAGATAAAGGATATAAGATATTGGAAGAAATCCCCGAACGACGACGACGGTTCCAGGACACTACTGTAAATCAGTAGTGCCCTGGAACCAGAGGAGACCTACTCATCTTCCTTTCGTTGATTATCATGTATTTACATCTAGAAGCATATAAGATATAGGATAAAGAATACAGGATACAATATAGGTAATTCATGATACATGAAACAGGAAACAGGAAACAGGAAACGGGAAACAAGAAACAGGAAACTGGAAACAGTATACAGCTTACAGTATACAGGATACAGAATACAAGATACAGGATACAGGATAAAGGATAAAGGATACAGGAACAGGATACAGGATACAGGATACAGGATACAGGATACAGGATACAGGATACAGGATACTCGAAAAACGACACTATCACAAAACATTTTATAGAAAGAAGAACTTTAATTTAAAAATGTAATAAAAGTGAAGATAGAAGGATAGAGTAAAATGCTTGAAGAGAATTCAAGCTTTATTTCAGCCGTCACTCAACATGACCTGGAGAAGTGATGAAAGCAAGACGGATAAATTCTCTAGGGTTCGGAGAAACTCATCAGTTCTCCGGGGAAACTAAGGGGTTCTCATTCATCCCGGATACAAAAATTCTTTCTTGGATTTAAAAAAAAATCTTTTAATGATTTTATCTGACACCATTTTTTTAATGGTTATCCAATGTATTTTATCATAAACTTTATCACACATATTAACCATTTTTTAACTCAAAAATAAAACTTAACAAAAGTTAAAGGCCTATCTTTCAAACAATTTTACGAACGTCGTTACATTTGTTAACAATGCTATGTACCAGTTATGAAATAAAATATATCAAAGAACTGTGTAATAACATAATATTGTTAAGCTGTATATAATTCATCAAAGTACACAATTTGAAGATCGTTGAAAAGTTTCGTTTTCACCGGTGGTAAATAAATATTTAATATCAATATAAACATTCAGTCCTGGCTTGCTG